CCACCGTGGGATGATCAAAGACAGCGCTGGAAGCATGCTGGATTGCTACAAAAGATTGCAAGAGGGGGCTCTTCCTCCTTCCCATTAAGCAGGGGGTTATGAAATGAACCTGATCAGTATCTCCCTGAAACATGTCTGGGTGATGACCAAGGAAGTGAGATGGTTGATCTGAGCCAGGGTGTCCTGAAGCTGTTCCTGGAGATCCACGGCCATCCATGACAGGAAACATTCGAGCAGATGTCAATGGCAGGAAAAGCCAAATCAGCAGAATCAGAAAGCAGAGACAGTCTTTGGGTCACAGAGTGAAAAGGTCTGGTAGCCAGAGAGATCAATCCCACCATGATGGGGAATCTAGACAGGGGCTTGACACGGAGTGGGTGGTGATCTGGGGCAGATGAAGAAGGACAGGAACATGAAGGGCATGAAGTGTCCACATGGGAGCAACAATACCTCACACCATGTGCGAGGTCACCTGGGATTATAAAGGAAGCTAGACAGGTGCAACTCTCTTCCTGATCTGGTTGGCATTCTCACAAAGGGGTGGGGTATTATGATCTTCAACTAGAGATATCATTCTGTTAATGTTAAACCACAGAAATGAATGAGTGCACCCATTCATTTTCACTTCACTGTAGTTAATTTTTTTGAGAGGATGTTCAGTAGTTTTATGATCCTTACTTTATGTAGAATGTGTGAGGGGATGGTGCTAACCACTGCACCACACCAAGATTACATATACTGTATATGCTTAATTATTATTATTTAAAAGCTTTCTCAGATCCAGCCATTCCACCCAAACCCTGGCCAGGAAAAGAGGATGGATGTATGGATGAAATAAACTTTCATTTAATGTTTAAATGACTCTCTGAGATGTACAGACAAGCCTCCCACCAGTATTTTCTTATCTTGAAGTAAAGGCCCTGAATTTCTCACTACGAATTTAAATTATTTCAGCTGTCAGTTGTGAATGTTTCACTAGTGGCAGTTAGCAGGAATGCATGGTCAGCATTCTGATGTTGAGTGAGCACTGATCAGCCAACCCTCCCGGAATGGATGACAAGTCTCATTGGATTCCTCTAAAGAGACCTAAGCAGTCTAATAATTAAATAAATAAGTTCCAGTCAGGGTTATTTACGGACCATTAGAACTGTAGTTGAAGTTTACAAAGAAAACCAAGAAACACTGCTCTGACTTTTTAAATATCCTGCATTTACAAACACTTACAAATGATAGAATAGAAAGACACTTTTATTAAAGGTAATAA